TTTTTTTTTTTTTTTTTTTTTTTCCTCTTGCCAGGTTTTGCCCTTGCTAACTTTGACACCAAACAAAAGAAAAATTGCGTGGCGGGAAGGGAAAAAAAATCACAATTGGAGTACTTGGCCTGGGGTTGGACTACTCGATCTTTAAAAATGCCTTTGAACCCAACCCATTCTAGGATTTTAGGACTCTCATCTCCCCAAATCCCCCCTCGGACCCTCACCAGGTTGCGGGGTGCTCTTGCTTCCCAGCTGCGTTTCCGACTGGCTGTGGCTCACGGGGCTGATGTCCTGGCAGCTCTGCATGGGCGAGTCCCTCCCCGCCGCCGCCTCCGAGCCCGTCGGCTTCTCAATATTCTTCATTTCCATCTCCTCGTGGTGGATCCACAGATCCGGGGGTCTCAGGTCCTTCTGGCTGCCCTTCCTTTTCCCGGCGCTGTGGGTCGCGCGTTTCCTGCGGCAAAAAAAAATAAATTTCCATCAGAATTGTCACGTTACAAATATTTTTCTCTCTTTTTCTTTTTTTCCTGCTCCGATTTCCAGAGTTCGCTCCAAGCGATGGGTCATTTTGGGGATGTAGAAAATGGAGGGAAACCACTTTTCCCGCTTTTCTCTTCTTCTTCTCTTCCATTTTTCTATTCCCTCCTTGAACATGTCTGATTCACGGCGGCTCCTCAACACTCTAGAAATTTAAACAACCCTGAAAGAATGTTTTTCCTGCCTTCTTATTGCTCGATAACGCAAAAGGACTCTTACCCCCGCGTTTGCCTTTGTCCATTTGGCGGAAGGGAAGTGATATCACCGCTCCAAGCAGGAATACTTACGGCACCCGAGAAGCTGCTGGCAAATATTTTCAAATTCATTGCGGGAAATAAAAAAAAACACCTTGATTTTTTCCGACTCAGCTGCTCCTTCCTCCCAAAATAATAATTTCAAGTGATAATAATTCAATATAAAAGACAATTCTTTAATTATCTTCATGCCCAGGCCCTAAGACCACCCTGATGGACACCTATGAGAATAATTCCGAGCGCTTCTGCTCTAACCTTGCGGTGTGACCCACCCCAAGTTAAAAAAGTGAAGTCTCATTCCAAAAAAGACCAAAACTTTGGCTCTAAACAAGGAATTCTTTCCTCACTTGGGGATACAGCGGGTTCAATCAAAAAAAATTCATTTCCTCAGGCTCGAGCCAGAAATTTCAGCCGCCAACGTAATTTTTTTATGTGCCCTAAAGAGGAGCTTATGATGAATGCGTCGTTCTCGCCCTTAACTACAAAGCAGCTCTGGCAAGGATATAATTTTTAAAAATATATGCAAGGGTCTGGCCTGGTTTGCATTGTTTCTTGTAGAAATTGAGGTTTGCCTCCTGAAAAATGTTGATTTTGGGGGGGGGGAGGCAGGATCTTTGCAGCGCCAGACACGTTGTGTTTAGAGAAGACAGTTCTGCACGACATAACGATATTTTTTTATTTTTCTTTCCCCCTTGTGGATGGATATAAACCCAGAGTTCAGCTCTGCCCTTAAAACATACACCGCGGTCACGCGATTTTGAGTAAGAAGCAGGACTTAAGCTGTACTTTCCAAATAAATACGCTCTCCAGAGAGCGAATCTCTTCTCGTTTTCTATTTCTAGAGTTTCCAGCACAACAGAGTTTTCAGCCCAGAGAGCTCCTAACAATCCACACGTGCTCCGTAGGCTAATTTTTCAAATACTCCGGAGTGAGATTACCCTTCATTGCTTTCATTTGAGTTACGTTGAGCCTGGGAAAACACTTGAGGTTATAAACAACTCAGCCGAGTTGATTTTTTTTCACACCAGTTGAAGACGCCTCTAGATCTCGGGAATAAACTGGTCTCCCGGGCAAAACAAGTTTGGTTTTGTTTTTTTTTGTCGCTTGGCCTTTCTGGCTGTATTCGAGGAAATGCAACCGGTCGAAAGGTTAAAAATAAAATAAAATGAGCACAAACCGACAGTTTTCTCCGCCGTGGCGAGATCCTACGTTCAACTGGTTGAAGTCATCGCACCCAAACCCTGACTCATGCTTTTTTTTAACTCCTTGATTTTTTACCGGTGTCAAACCATCGAGAATTTAATTTTTCTTTTTCCCCCTAGATGGCAGAGGCAGAAAATACTCGCTAAGCCGGGGTTGTTCCGTATCAATCTGCTTTATTGCGCTTTGTTCAGGCGAGTTTTAATTAACTTAAGAAATATGACTTCCCGCCGCCGAAGGCTTCCAGGAGATTATTCCATCACCTGCAAGTTTTTGCTCTGGGGAAGGACACGCGCATTATCCAGCGACACCCGGCCTTTCCCCTCGCAGCCGATTTTTTTAAACTAAGAACCAGCTGCCGAGAGAAAACTGAGTTGAAAACCCTTTGTGTCCCAGCGAGCATCAACCCAGGCAGGGCAGGAACAAGGCAAATCCCACCAACGCCCTCTTGTTTTGGGCAAACTCAGGCTTTTTCCCCGTTAGGCTGAATTTAAAATCCCTCGCTTCACTTTTATCGCTCGTTTTTGCCCCCTTTTCAGGTTCGCTCAGGGCAAAAACTCAGGCGAGATTCACCTGCCCGTAGGAGGGGACGTTTAGAAGCAAAATGGTAAATTCACATTGATTTTTTTTTTCAAATTCTGCAGTTTTTAACATTATGGAACAGCAAAAAGCACCATCAGACGGCAAACCTTCCGATGTCTAAGGGCAACAGGAGCGATATTTCGAACGTTCCTGCTCCTCCCCAGCGCTACAGAGGAGGTCAAGGCTGATTAACTCAAATTTGGATTGAATTTCCTGGGTCCAGTCTTTTGTAACAGAATAATAACATATTGTAAAATACCAGCGTAAGAATTTTCAACGCATGAAATGCATCCAACTCGACTGGTTCGAACCCACCGATTCCGCTCTTACATTTTTCCAGAATTAAAAAAAAGAAAGCCTCGTGTTCTTTACGCCCTTTTAGAAGAACCCTAAAGATTTTTTCCACCCCTAATATATGAGAATTATGTGGAGAAGCCGTTCCGGGATGCTTTTTGCTGGAAACTTTTTGGAGACAGACTGTCTGGAGAGGATAACGTCCTCTCAATTTGAGCCTGGTGGGGCTGCGCCATCAGAAAATCTGTCAGCAGCACCAGGCAAAGACGTGTATTTTAATTTTTTTTATTTTTTCCCCCCCTCTAAATTGATTTTTCCCCGGGTCTGAATTAGCCTCGGCAGACTTACTTCCTCTGCTGCGCCGAGGAGCGCCGGGTGCACACGACGGCCACCACGGCCACGGCCACCACCGTGATGACGCCGACGGTGACGACGATGACGACGAGGAGGTTGTTGTTCTTCTGCGGCGTCACGCTGCCGTGGGGAGGGTGCATCTGCCCGATGGGGGGCTCTGCAAGAAGACCCGACGGGACGGTTAGGACCAGCTTTGCTCCAAAACCCGCCCGGCGGCACGAATTCCTCCGCCGGAGAAGCTGAAAATTGCGTCTCGGGAAAATATTTAAGCGTTTAACGACTTGGCATCTCCCGGGCGTTACTAACCCGGCGCCGGGAGTCGTTAACTCTCAGTTGGTTTTTGCTGTTATCAGCTGAAAATGGAAACGCGGGGAGTATGGATTTTTTTTCTTTACGGCCCGTCGAGCCTTTTTCTCGGTGTTTTCGGGCAAAAACGCGTCGGCAACTTGAGCTGTCAGCCCTCACCCCACAGCCAGTCTCTCAGCCCATCATATTTTCCTTAGGGCTTACACCCTTTCTTTACTTAACTAAATAATTTAAATAATTTGGAAACTCTCCTTGCTTCTCAAAGTGGGAATTCCTCTATTTATGATGAAATACTCTGAGAAGCAGGTGGAAAACCTAAACCAGCGGCGTGCTGGCTGCAGGGAAGCAGGATAGAAAAAGGTACCGATATTTGGCTTTCTCTCCTTGCCTTGGCTGAGGACAATCACCAGGGGGAGTTAAATCAGCTCTGGTCATGAGTTTGGACTTTCAAACCTCACTCGATGCCATGTTTGAGGGCATCTCGGCCGTTGTTTCCCTCGAGGATGTGAGATGACAGCGTTTCTTTAGGTAAGGGAGACGGAGAGTAAGAAACTACTCATTGCTTATCCACAGCCCAGCCTCCACTGCTCAGGTTCAGTTACATTTTGTCAATCCACGGGGTTTACTCGCACGTCTCCTTATTTAAGGGCGGGATTAATGAATGATCAAACTCTGCCGAAAGCTTCAGCTGAAACGTAACGACGTTAAACGCGATTCCTTTTCAACTGGGGTTTTTTTTCAGAGCTAGTCTCACGGCGCCTAAAGCACCTCTTGTGGTGGCCTCCAAGAGAGCAGTAAAGCAAAGAAAAATTATAAAATTACACTTCGTTACCACGCGCGCTTGGTCGGAGCCCGTATTTACCGTTGAGGCTGCTCCTGTCGTTTGGTGGGTGCCCCCCGGCCAGTACGAGCCGTCCCCGTGGCGACCTGGGGGCAGAAAAAAACGCATCAGCCGCGGCGCGACAGGGACAACGACAAAGTCAAGTTTGTTCCTCGCGACGCCTGCGCTCCGCTCGACAACATCTAAACCAGTAAAAGCCGTCCCGTGCGTGCCGGGGAGAAGCTGTAAGGAAAAGAGGCTTTGGAAAGCAAGGCTTGGGTTCCACTGGGCTTTTCCCCTTCCTCTAGACGTTGGAAACCACTAGTAGAGCAAGTTTTCTTTAATTCATGGTGGTTTTTCTGCCAAGAGTGGGATTTCTGCTTCCTCATATCCAACAGAAAGAGAATGGTAAAGTCCTCCTAAGCTCCTTGTTAAGGAAAATCCATGACCAAAGTAGTTTTTGGGGGCAAACCTCATTCTTTTGGGTTGACCAAGCACGTCTAGAAGATCTCTTGGCGAATTAGCCACCCCCCCACCGCAATTTTCTCCCTTTCCTGCAGTTGTTTGTCGCACCGTCGCCTCTCTAGAGGTGCTTCTGCACCAGTGGACTGCAAAGAAATCCACGTGCGCCGCCTGGTCTACCAATTTGGCGAGCGTTTTGTCGTGACGAACGGGCCCCAAACAAACGCGAGATGATTATCATCAGAAGAGACTTCGCCGTTAATCATCCCCTCAATCAGCGTAATTGCACGGCGACAACAACTCGAGCCCAGGAAAGCGAGGTCACGGAACGTTTAGCTGGAGCGAGCAGGCAAAATAAAGAGATAAATGGAAGGTGGCTGGTAATTCTGTTTA